TGTACTTGCCATCTTCTACCAAGGGTTTTCCCTAAAGCAGTGTTCCCTAAAGTGTGGTGCACATACCCCAGGGGTACGGGAAGAGTTTGGTGGGGATATGCACTGCACCGTGCTTAGCTGCACCTAATTCTACGTTCTCATGAGTACGAGGGGTACTCAGTGTTACAAAAATTATAGAAGGGGCACACATATGTCAAAAGTTTGGGAAACACTGCAGAGGATGTAGACTGGTCACCGTAAGGGAGAGGACACTTGTAGTCTGAGTTGCAGAGCACCAGTTCAGTAGGCCCTTTCAGGACTTACCTTGATCTCATGACCTAGGAAGTGGGCCGTCTATTCTTTTGCTACCTCTTGGTGGGTCTAACCCACTCTTACTGAAACAAGTGGGGACACCCTCACCAGGTCTTCTCAGGCCCTGCCCAGGGCATGGTCTTTGGTCGCTTTGTGGAGCTTGAGGCACTAGAGACTTCAAATGAGCAGCCTTGAGACCACCCGTGAAGTGGAAGCTACTAAATGCCCGCAAACCACCTTGCTTCTGAGAAGGAAATCTGGCAGGAAACACCTTTACAAATGGATATTGTATCATAGCTTGCTTTCAGCACTAACATTTCTGACACTTCCTCAAAACAAAGCCAAGAGGTATGAGTGTCTGGGGGTGAGACACCAAGACCCTATTAGTCCTGCTTTGCTGTTTTTCTCAGCTCCACGGGTGAGGAAGACCCTCGGGCAGCCAGGCTAGGCCAGTCCACTTTTTTAAAGTCTACAGGCCATGAGGCTCCTAGGGAGTCATTTCTACAAACCAGCTGCAGGCTGCCTTAAATTGCTCTGAGCCAAGGTTGGCAGTCAGGAGTGAAGCACAGAAAGTTATTACCTCTTATCCCACATTGGAGTGAAACAAAACAAACTCGAGGCTGGGAAAGCAACTTTTCTTTTCTTTTTTCTTTTTTTGGGGGAAATGGGGGTCTAAACAGAAGGATGAACAGTCCCATTTGTGCTCACCCCACCAGACTCACATGTCTGAGCAGCACAGTGAAGAGGCGATACTAGAGAGGGGCCTACAGGCCGTCTCAGTTCCTAAAATGCCACCCTTCCCCATCGCAAAGAACCCGAGGCATCCCGGGAGAACACCTCTTCCTCCTCACACACACTTCCACCGAGGACAAGCCCTGGGCAGTGCATTCCAGAGATGCCCACTGGTGTGTGGCAATGATCTGCCCACTAACAATTCAGCCAAGCAAGTTCCTGGAATTCTAGTCTGGGGCTGGGGTGTTAAGCAAAACGGGAAAAGCCTGTTCAGCCCTCCTCTCAGACCTTTCAGTCCCTTGGCGGGGGTGGGGGTAGGAAGGGGGAGATAGAAAGCAGAAACAGAGGCTGGAAGGATGCTCAGAATAACCTACTACTTCAGGAGGGAACTGCTGCCTGCTGCGAACAGCTGCATTATGGGAGGACGGAGGGCCACACACCTGGGCTCAAGTCCTGGCCCCCAGTCTTGGAGTGAGGCTGAGGCACACGGAGCACAGTAAATACACACCCCACGTCCTGTGTGCGAGGTGACTTAGACCAATGAAAATGTAAAGGTCTCATAGTGTGCCAGCTGCTGCTGAAAGGGTAAGCTTATGAGCTCTGAGAAGTTCAAGTCTGGGTTAGGCCGGGCCGCCCACAGAAAGCACTCAGCTCTGCCCCACCCCAGAGGGCAGAGGCCGCTCTGGGCAGCTGCTGGAAGTCCAGAGCTTGGGGTGGGGGTTAGCATTCACCCAACTCCGTTGACAATATTCAATAAACACCATGTAGGCATTTCCTAGATTTTACCATGTTTTTTTTTCTGATGGAAATTTCCTCAAGAGCTATCTACAAGTGGAGCTTGGATTTGGTCACAAAACCTAGGTTCTTAGTCATTCTACTCCCTGGTAAAATGTTTAACCTTGAACTATTATGGAATCAGGATGTTTCACAAACACTAAGCACACTGAAATTACTGGTCAGACCTAGCTGAACAGTATCTTGTTTTGAAGTCTGGTCCTCACTGACCACATCAAGATCTTGGTGGGCAAGCTTAACCCCCACCCCCCGAAAGAATCGTCTCACGTATGGATGCTCTGATTGTTCACTAACCTGGGAGCTGAAGGCTTCCTCTTACAGCCTGGGCTCTGGTGGAGGGAGCCAGGGCGACACTGCCACCCATCTGTAAGCAAGTGCAAGGCGCTGAAGCCAGGGTGAATTTTGCCCTGCGGGTAAAGAGGCAATTTACCCGGAAACAAAGCTGTTCTAAGGAAGCTCTCCTAAGATGCATAATTAGACTGTAGAGGCAGAGACTGAGGATGACATATTAAAAGCTGGGGAGACAGTGAGTTGAGAGAAATGACCTGCTCCACCTCTGTGCTCTTCCAGAGGACGGATGGATGCAGCAATAGCTTCCCTTTCCTGAGGTTCAACACTTTTCCGGAAGGAATTAAGCCTGTTTTGTTCAGGGGAGAGACAGAATGGGACCAGAGAGCATTCCTTAAACCATGAGGAAGTGATGAAGGGGTGTAGCACTGATTCTGTGCCGTTATCCAGAGCACAGAAACTGGTCTACTTGGTAGATGTGAGAAATTTAAAAAATGCTAACAGTATATATAAAAATAAAAAATATGTGTGTGTTGTGCACACTGACTTCTTATATTGGCTAGGAAAACAAATCTCTTTGGTAATATTTTCATTTAATAATAATTTTAAAAGATCCATGAGATTCTACTGTAGAAGTCATCTCCTGATTTCATTTGTAAAAGAACAAATTAGGTTTCCCCGAGCACAAATTTGTAGGGTCCGGAAGAGGCAGAGGGCTGTGCTGGAGAATATGGCGAGCCGGTGTCGTTTTCAGGTGGGAAGAGCTCATGTATACTTGCTGCCTGGGAGGAGTTCCGACCTCACAGCCACCCTTTAGCTGCTGCGTGCACTGGCATGCACAGATAAAAAGTTGGGGTCTCCAGCCTCAGCTCCAACGAGATGCACAGTGATCTCAGAAATACATAAGCAGCGGTGTCCTTCTGAGTAACCGAGTCTCTGAAGATGCCAACTTAACCCTCACGTGCCATCCCACTTACCACCAAACCACACCTCTCCCTCCCCGCGCCCCGTTTCCCCAGACATAATCATGAAAACGCCTCAGAAAGAAATGAATTAGTGTGTGAAAGGCATGGATGGAGTTTATTTATTACCCTATATCTACATTTTAATTTGAGGTAAAATATAAGCAACACATAAAAATGCCTATTTCTGCTACCATGTAATATAATTCTCCATTATGAATATTGTGATAAAGCTAATGAACACTCTATGCCATCACATACTCTAGCTTTTCATATAGCTGGTATTTTACAACTCTTATTGTCTGTGACATCTTAACACATGTAAGACTCTCCTACAAATGGCGCAGAACATCAGCGGGTGCATAATTAGCTTACGACCCCTCACTCCCCACACTGGAGCCTCACGTTATTAAGCAGAATTATAAAACAATGAAGGCAATACAACCCCTTGAGATTGATCCAAACTGGAACAGTGTTCCAAAAAAATCCACACCACAATAGGTTACAAGACAGTAAGGCTTTAGTGTCATTTAGCTTGCCCAAACACTCATCATACCTGGTCTTAAACTTCCGGTACACCATGCACTTTACTTGGGTAAAAAGTATTTGTGGAAGAGGTTCTCTGTATTCCATCTAGAAGCCACACGCTGAGATACTGCTCTCTTATTGGCTATTAAGTACTCCAGATAGTTGTGTTTTTTTTTTAATTATGATAAAAAACGTATAAACCATGATAGATAGCTTAGGAAAAGGTTTAGTCAAATATACAGATACTAACTGTTCACTTAGTCATTAAGGAGAGCCGTGAACAAAAGGATCATTTAAGTGATTTTTCAAATAGAAAAACTAAAGAACTAAACTATCGTAGGTGTCTTCTTCGCTGCAGAAGCTGAGATGTTCCAGTAGGAGATATCTTCACTTGATTGGAAAATAAACACCATAGCTGAAGGCTCTGCCGAATCCATAAAAAAATCTGGTGAGATTCATCCCTGTCATTTTCCCTGTCGTTTTCCAGCATTGCTGTAAAATCCTTAAAATACATTCCAACGTAAACCAGCCATTCCAAATCTACAGTCACTCTGCTCTTTAATTCAATTCACAGAACTGCTGAAAAAGTAGACATTTCTATCTAAAAGTAGAAAAAAAGGTTTGTATAGAAGGTATTTCTGTTATACAAGTATATTACACAGCTTGGGGCAGTAACAGGTCCGAAAAGCTCTTCTCACCCACTGATACTTTAAGCTAAAATAGGAGAGAAAACGAACAAGAAAACAGTTAATCTGGTTATAGGGATTAAACACAAACACCATAACTGAGTACTTATATCCACGAGCAGACAGTACGGGGCAGGCTCCAGGACAAGAGAGTCTGTACGAAAAGCACGCTGCCAGCTGCAGGCGGGGGCCACGCTCCCTGGCACTATCACCAAGACACGTGACAGTTCAGGCCTAGCGAGACTCAACAGACATGTGGCCAGTTTTGCTGATTCCTACTCTAGGGCTGCCCCTCCTGCCACTAAGCTGGCTAAGTGTAAGAAGTCTGAAATAACAGGATGAGGCTTGTAATTTAACTATGTCAGATGCACGATGAACTGCGAATACTATCATTTTGATTAGGGGGAAAGTCAGTGTAGTGATACTAATTCAGTGAATTCCAATGTGAGGACAAGATTGACCCTGTGAATTAAAACATTTCCTTTTAAGGCAAAAGTGCATTTATACCTTTGACTGACAGATATGCTGATCCAAGGAAAAAAAAATCCTACTTGAATCTTCTAGCTAAAAACAACCCCTTATGGCTTACACTTGGCCCCTGGAGGTGGGGCCACGTTTATGGCTGAAGCAGGGAACACACATCGGCTTATGAACAAGCAGGTGGGCTCACTATGCACATCCCGGACACAGAGGCCGAGGTACCTGAGGAAGGAAGAGTCTACCACGTGGGGTCTGGTTCTTGCTTGATCTGAGAGCTTCCGTCAGTCTCCTTTATTTCTGCCAAGAAAACAAAAGGGAACTGATTAATAGCACCAACAATGCAAATCTGCTCAATTATAATCCACTCATACCAAACTATTTACTAACATAATCCAACAGAAATAAGAAGATACTAAAAATAATTACATTTTCAGAGATAACAATGTTTTCCTAGCTATAAGTTCTAAATTTTGCTACTTATATATTCAAAGCAACAAACATCCTAATTACATACGTATATAAATGACCTATACTATCCAGGTTATATAGCAGTCGGTCATTTCACGGTTTCAGAATTCATTAAGAGTCAATTGCGGGGAGCCCTGGCCGGTCTGCTCAGTGGTTAGAGCATCAGCCAACAGATCAAAGGGTTGGTCTCTTTCTTTCTCTTTTTCTCCCTCTCTCCTTCGCTCCCCTCTACTCTCTCTAAAAAAATAAAAAAAATCAATGGATAAAATGTCTTTGGATAAGAATTAAAGAAAAGAAAAAAAAGTCATTTGGAGGAAACAGAACAAAAGAACCCATGAATCAACTCTGAATACAATGTTTCTGGGTATAAACTACAAATTAAATTCACTCAGAAACAAAAGAACAAAACCACCACAGTTCTAGTTTAAAAGCTGTAAAAACACAATTAACCCTTTGTCCTAATAAAAGTCTTAAGGAACTTCAGTTTTTACCTTCTGTTGCAGGAACCTCCAACTGGCTTGGCTCAGCTGATTCTGAAAAGAAACACATGTGGCTTTACTGTAACAATGTCCAAAAGTTGCTTTCAATTATTTGAAGAGACCAGAGAAGAAAAAAGGAGAGAAAGCACCCTAGCAGTGTACACAGATCACAAGGCTAGAATAAAACCACAGCCATAGACTCTTGGGATTAAACACACAATTATTCAACTTAGACTTTCAAAAAATCTACTTTTATGAAATGTGTTTACGTTAGCTTGCATAACTGAAGTCTTAGATAATAATCTTTGTTAGCACAGCTCTAAAATGAAAGTAAGAAGTTCTATTTTTGTCTCCCTGCCCTTTCCACTGTGAGTTTCCTTTTAATAAAAAGCCTTTTATTACTTTCATGAATCACAGCAGCAGGCCTGAACACTTGTTTCTAAGGAACTTTTAAAACCACAATACACACTTTCCCACACAACACAAGTTGGCCTACACCTCCCATTATAAACAAATGGCATGAAGAATAAATTTAAAAAGACGACCTTCTCACTGAAAAACTGTCTTCTATGCCATGGATCCCAGGGTTCCTGACCACAGACCTTCCCTGAGACAGAGGGATCAAAAGGCATGTGGTCCGCAGTTCTCAATCAGGATCTACAAACTGAGCTTATACAGGCTTCCAAACAAAGGAGTCAAAGAAACAAGTCTGGGTGCATGTATACATGGGTGTGCTGAGTAAATGACTCTTCAAGTTACACAGGCATAAACATATGAGGCCACAAGTTTTATCTGATCTGTTTCACCAAAAAGGTAGGAGTATTTCTATGTTTATTACCCTCCTTAATTTACCTTGTATCACTGGGCCTTCTGACTCACTCTGATCAACCAACTCTGAAAACAAAGCAAATTCATTTAATAGCACACTGTTACATCTGACAAGCATTTTTACATACATTCTATATTTTTATGCTCTAATTTTGCCATAATGGGCACTATTTTCTTTATTACAAGAAAGGAACAAACATTAAGAGTTCTGGTATGTCCCATCAAATAACCAATTCATAGTAATCACCACAAAATTCTATTATAGACATGAACAAATTAGGACAAAATTAAACATTTTAACATAAAGTAAAAGGGCAGAGAGGATGAAAGCACAATGTTCTTTGAAACTAAAAATTATACAAAAGACAGGGGTATTGAGATTAATCAAAAAAATAAAAGAAAATATGTCCTAGCTGGTTTGGCTCAGTGGGTAGAGTGTCAACCTGCACACGGAAAGGTCCCAGGTTTGATTCTAGTTGAGGGTACATGCACGGGTTGTGGCCTTAATCCCCAGTATGAAGCATGCAGGAGGCAGCCAATTAATGATTCTCTCTCATCATTGATGTTTCTACCTCTCTCTCCCTCCCCTTCCTCTCTGAATTCAAAATATATAATATATATATATATTTTAAAGGAAAATAATTATCATGGGACTTCTTTAAATAATAAAGTTTCCTGGTGTGATTAAAGCTGAATGTCACAAAGATTATTTAAAATCACCGAAACTGGTTTGGCTCAATGGATAGAGCGTCGGCTTGGGGACTGAAAGGTCCCGGGTTTGATTCCGGTCAAGGGCATGTACCTTGGTTGCGGGCATATCCCCAGAAGGGGGTGTGCAAGAGGCAGCTGATCGATGACTCTCTCTCATCGATGTTTCTAACTCTCTATCTCTCTCCCTTCCTCTCTGTACAAAATCAATAAAATATATTTTTAAAAAAATTTAAAAATTATTTAAAATCTATGAAGCAAGATATTCTTCTCTTTCATACTGACATTACCAGATACTAACATACTTGACCATGATAGTGTGTATACTGAAAACAGAATCTACACAAAAAGAACTCATAGATTGGGGTTACAAACAAATTAATAAATTTTATGATAAATCAAAACTCAAAAGTTTGGAAGCAGAAGAGGTGTGACCAAATCAATGTTCCTGAGGAGTGAAAGCCAGAGGACAGGGTCCACAGAGTGAAGCAGTATGCAGCGGCAGGGGACAGGTGTGATGCCAGTAGCTCTCTCCGGTCAGGGGGGCAAATCAACTACTCACAAGGTTGTCATTTAATGGTCACTGATAAATCCTGAACATGAAACTGAAGAGTCTTACACTTCCCTAAAGAATAAACTATAGAACTGAACGGACTTTTAAAAAATATATATTTTATTGATTTTAGAGAGAGAGGGAGAAACATCAATGATGAGAGAGAATCACTGACTGGCTGCCTCCTGCACGCCCCCTACTGGGGACTGAGCCCACAACCCAGGCATGTGCCCTTGGCCAGAACTGAACCTGGGACCTATCAGTCTTCAGGCCGAAGCTCTATCCATTGAGCCAAACCAGCTAGGGCTGAATGGATTAAAAAAAAAAAAAAAAAAAAAAAAAAAGAAGAATAATGCTAATTGGAAAAGACTGAAATGACAAAGGTATTAGAAAAGGATCATTCTCACAAAATCATATGACCTTTCATTATGACGTGCACTGACCACCAGGGAACAGACGCTCAACGTAGAAAATGCCCCCCTGGTCGTCAGTTCATAACTGGCCAGCGCAGCAGTGGTGGTGGGAGCACCTTGGGCCTTCGGGAGCACTAAGGATGTCTGACTAATGGCTTAGGCCCACTCCCCGCTGGCAGAGGGATGTCTGACTGCCAGCTTAGGCCCACTCCCTGGGGAAATGGACCTAACCATCAGTCAGACACCCCGAGAGGTCCCAGACTCTAAGAGGGCGCAGGCCGGGCTGAGCCTCCCCATCCCCCAGTGCACGAATTTTCATGCACCAGGCCTCTAATTTTTAATAAAAAGGTAACAGAGCAAAAAAATAAATAAAAATTAAAAAGTTACTAGAACACAAAATATACGAGCACAATTAAGTTTTGCTAAAAAAAAAAAAAAAAAAAGCATGCATATAAGCATAACCAATGGATACAAGATCCGGGGGGGGGGGGGGGGCAGGTGAGGGCATGTACTGGGGGGTAGGGGAGGCCAGGAGGAGATCAATGGGGGGGGGGCGGGGCGCGGGGAAGAAGACATATGGATCACTATTTGTAATACTTCAAACAATAAAAAAAAGAGAGGAAAAAAAAGCTATTTAAATTATGAACACCAGAGAAATGAAAGAACATGTATGTTTATAAAATAGTATTTGAGAGCCCAATGTCTACCAGACACTTTGCTTAATATTAATAGAAGCAAGCTAAATCAGATTAAAAAGACTCACTTATTCAAGCACAGTAATTACATAACAGAAGTAAAAGTAATAAATATAACAACTATAGACTGTATTTACTGAGGACATACGTAAGGCCAGGCATTGTTCTGGGTCAGGGGTCACAAATTTCTTCATAAAGAGCCAATTAGTAAATATTTTAGACATTGCAGGTCACATTTTCTGTAGCAAATTCTGTCAACTATGCCATAAAGAAATTAGCCTGGCAGTGTTTTAATAAAATTTTATTTACAAACATGGGAAGAAGCTTGCTTAACATATATAATGAGTCATATTTTAAAACTCTCAAAGTAGGTACTAATATTATTACCATTTTGTGAATGAATAAACAGATTTTAAAAAATTAGGCAAACTTGCTCAATATTATATCTAGAAAGTACCTAGTGCTTTAACACTGTGGACTAAATGAACAATGACTTTGCATGGTTACTACTATGGGTGTAGTAAAATTTTACATTCTTGTGAGCTAAATATGTGGGTGGGCACACACATATCCCAAAAAAGACAATATCAAAGACTTCATGAAATACTCACGGTTATTAATCACAAGTCCTGGAAATGGTCTAAAGAAACAAATTACACAACAGTTTAATTTTACTCTATGAGAATTACAAGTACATTCAGTTTATACAACTAATTTTTAAACCATGTCACTTATGTGCTATAATGAGAAATGTTATCTATAATGTTTTAATCTTACATACTTTTTGATCAATCAATTGTTAGATATACAGACTGTCCCTCCAAAAATGTATACACACTTTGCATAAAATCAGTGTTTATTAACATATAGTTCACTTTCAACATTAAGTGAGTTATCAGCTGTTAAAACATATACATTTTTGGAGACACCCTATATATAGACGCATAGCTAAAAATCAATCATTAGAAAATGTTACAGTATAGATGATAGAAAAACAAAAAATAGAAACAAAGAAAAGGGAAAAAAAGAGTAATTCTAGTGAAACAATTCAATGGAAGAAGGCGTTTTCCCATATCCTGGGGAATGGCATGGAAAATAAACATTGGTAAAGTGGGACAAAAATATGGAAATTGTAAGGAAAGGGTATTGGGAGAAGATGAGTGGATGAGAAAAAGCTTTGGAAGGTAATGCTTTTAGCTATTTCTCAGTGTTAGTCCTAAGCATGTACACTAGAGACCGTGGTAACCTGACAATGAACTGACTGGGGTAGACTTAGTGATGGCTAAGTTTTTGTGAGTTGCAAAAGAAGAGTAAAGACACCTTGGGACTTGTAATTAGATGGATGGAAAGAGGACATTTGTTGTGCACTTATTGTGACAAGCACATACCATATTTTCCGCCGTACAAGACGACTTTTGAAACGAAAAAAGTCAAACGAAAAAAGTCAACCGAAAATCGGGGGCAAAAGATCAAAATTGCACAAAAGTTACTTGCAGATCTTGACGGCAAAGTAAATATTTTCTTTGAAGTGGGGGGTAGTCTTATACAGCGAATATAGGCCTAAACCTATGTTTTAACTGTAAAATTAGAGGTCGTCTTATACGCCGGAAAATATGGTATTAGTAATGTAATTCTCATAATGCTGTTAGAGGGTCGGTATAACCATCATTCCTGCTTTGTGGATAAGGAGCTGATGCTCTCAAAGGGAACAATTACAACCTCACCCCTTGCCTGACCTCCAGAGAATGAAGAATCAGCTCAGGGAGGAGAAAATCTAATAGTACAATAACTAAAGTATTTTATTTGTTCATAACATGGTAAACTTGATTCTGTTACTACATAGGTCTATGTTTTGGGTGCAGATGCATTCATTCTTATGAGCAAACAGGTAACTCTCACTTACCTGATGACTGTGAATTTAATGAACTCAGCAGAATCTAGAATTCTTCTCATGGAGCTGATTTCCAGGTAACTGGGGGCTTTGAAGGACACTCCAGGAGGCATGCCATCAACCACCACACAGCCAGGGTTAATTGTGATTTTCCGGTAGGGAACTTTCACAGGGAAACCCATGCCAATAGCTTCACCTGCAGCAACAGGAACAGCATAAAAGCATAGGTTAACATACCGCTTTAGTGAATGTTTAAAAAGCACATGACCAACATTAATTTTAAAGACTGTCTCCACTGTTAACTAAGGTCTCTGTACACTTCAAACAACCATACATATAAACCCTAGTTTTATTCACTTTAATATTCACCATTATCAATAATACATTTAATGTTTTCTTACTGAAAGTCTTTAGCAAAACCAAAATACTTATTTTATAACTTTATTTCCTTTTATATAAGACTAGAGGCCCGATGCACGGAAATGTGTGCAGGAATGGGCCTTCCTTCTCCTGGCGCCGGCACCTCCTTTGCTCTGTCCCCGAGCTGCCTTTCTTCCTTCCCATGCTACCCAGAGGCCTGGAGCTGCTGGGGTGATGCAGAAGGCCTGCATTGTCACCATGGCAACAATGTAAGCATCCTACCCCTCAGTGCCCGCATATGCAAACTAACCTGTCATCTTTGTTGAGTTAATTTACATACTCACACCTGATTGGCTGGTGGGCATTGCGAAGGTATGGTAAATTTGCATGTTTCTCTTCTATTATAAATTGTAATTATCTGAGCATAATTTACTGATCTTTAAAATATACTTATTTTTTCCAATTTCATTTGATATTCTCAATCATAATTGATTCACTGAGTACTATTTATGTTCACTTTCTAGGCCTTTTATAACAAAATTAGAGGCCCGGTGCACGAAATTCATGCACAGTAGGGTGTGTAGGCCTGGCCGGCAATCAGGGGCAGGAGGGCCTTCCTTCATTCCCTGCTGCGCCCCCTTCACGGTCAGCGCATGTCATATTGAGCAGTCGAATTCTTGGCCAAACTCCTGAGGGGACAATTTGCATATTACCCTTTTATTGTATAAAGTATTACAGATTGTGTGGCCTCCACAAGATAAATTCATTTTTCCACAAGTTTGATGTTAGAAGTCCAAGACCGAGATCTGTGTGGGAGCAGACACCGCAGCTGAGACTGCTTTCTTGGCGCCACTCTTCCTACCATCTGAGGAGCCCCCCCCTCTCCCCCCCCTCCTGTGCACGATGGCGACTCTTAAGGAAAAACTGATTGCACTAGTTGCCAAGGAAGAGGCAGCAATCCCAAACAACAAATCACTGTCGTGGGTGTTGGACAAGTGGGCATGGCGTGTGCCATCAGTATTCTGGGAAAGTCTCTGGCTGATGAGCTGGCCCTGGTGGATGTGTTGGAAGACAAACTCAAAGGAGAAATGATGGATCTGCAGCATGGAAGCTTATTTCTTCAGACACCTAAAATTGTGGCAGATAAAGACTACTCTGTGACTGCCAATTCTAAGATCATGGTGGTCACTGCTGGAGTCCGTCAGCAAGAGGGAGAGAGTCGTCTCAACCTGGTGCAAAGAAACGTCAATGTCTTCAAGTTCATTATTCCTCAGATTGGCAAGTACAGCCCTGATTGCATCATCATTGTGGTTTCTAACCCAGTGGATATTCTCACATATGTTACCTGGAAACTAAGTGGATTACCCAAGCACCGTGTGATTGGAAGTGAATGCAACCTGGATTCTGCTAGATTTCGCTACCTTATGGCTGAAAAACTTGACATTCATCCTAGCAGCTGCCATGGATGGATTCTGGGAGAACATGGCGACTCAAGTGTGGCTGTGTGGAGTGGAGTGAATGTGGCAGGCGTCTCTCTCCAGGAACTGAATCCAGCAATGGGAACGGACAATGATAGTGAAAATTGGAAGGAAGTACATAAGATGGTGGTTCAAAGTGCCTATGAAGTCATCAAGTTAAAAGGATATACCAATTGGACTATTGGATTAAGTGTGGCTGATCTCATTGAATCCATGTTTAGAAATGTATCCAGGATTCATCCAGTATTAACGATGGTGAAGGGGATGTATGGCATTGAGAATGAAGTCTTCCTGAGCCTCCCATGTATCCTGAACGCTTGGGGACTAACCAGTGCTATCAACCAGAAACTGAAGGATGATGAGGTTGCTCAACTCAAGAAAAGCGCAGACACCCTCTGGAACATCCAGAAGGACCTCAAAGACCTGTGACTACAGGGCTGTAGGCTGTAGAAATGTAAGAACCACAATGTGATTAACCATGAGCCTTTAGTTTCCATCCACGCACATGGATCACAGTTTGCTTTTATCCTCCTAAATATTATATGTGAATCTGGGCTTACGGAATATGCTTGCAACATGAGTGCTTGAACAAATAAACTAATGATGGTAGTGTGGGGAAAAAAATAAAAAATAAAAAATAAAAATAAAAAAAAGAAGTCCAAGACCAAGGTGCCAGCATGGTTGTTCTGCTGTTTCTTACTGAAACAAAATTTCCTTGCTTGTTGCAAGCTGTACTAAGCAAATGAAACTTACCAAATTTGCGACTGAAGAGGTCATTAACTTGTTCTCTTAGCTGTCTGGCTTTTTCAACCTTTGAAAGTCTTTCATTATCATCATCTAAAAAAAGTTAAAAGAAAACTCATAATACTTTAATAATACAATTTTAATTCCAAGTAAATGTTTAGGTTCTCTTCGTATCTCACTTTGTTTTTTGAATATTCAAGTATTTTAAACTAATCAGATTGAAATGATTTATATAAATGATTTAACAATAAAACCAAATTGAAAATGATACTACTTTATTCCTGTTATCAAAAACTTTACCTGCTATTTCATACAAATTTATTATTATTTTTTATTAATCCTCAACCAAAGATATTTTTAAATTGATTTTTAGAGTTGATGAAGGGGAAAAAGAGGGAGAGAGGGGGAGGGAGAGAAAGAGGAACATCGATGTGAGAGACACATCTATTGGTTGCTTCCCAAAGGTGCTCCAGTCCTGTAACCCAGGTATTTGTTCTTGATCAGGAATTAAACCTGTGACCTTTTGGTGTGTGGGCTGATGCTCTAACCACTGAGAAACACCAGCCAAAGCTAAACAGATTTTTATTTATTTTTTAAAAAAATATATTTTATTGATTTTTTACAGAGAATAAGAGAGAGAGAGAGAGCTAGAAACGTCGATGAGAGAGAAACATCGACCAGCCGCCTCCTGCACATCCCCTACTGGGGATGTGCCCGCAGCCAACGTACATGCCCTTGACCGGAATCGAACCCGGGACCCTTCAGTCCACAGACCGACGCTCTACCACTGAGCCAAACCGGTTTCGGCCAAAGCTAAACAGATTTTTAAAAACAAGACACTAGGTATCTGGGTGGTCACCAGGTTTTTTAGCTCACACCAAGTACAATGAACTGCCTAGAGATACTTAGCAAAAACTGACAAGATGATGTATAATATTTGGTTAATTTCTGGAAGGAGAACACAACAATGTGCCTTAAACTCTATATCCCCATATCCTGAAAGTGAAAAAACCAAAGAGGAAACCACCCCAAAAACTATGATAAAGGCAGAGAAATCATACCTGGAATTGTCACCTGAATGATGTTAAGATCTTCAACACCAGATGCAGTAGTATTAACATTAGGCGATGAATTTATTTTTCCTTAAAATTATAACAGATATAAAGTAATTAAATCTTCTCTAATAACTTATATTTATAAAAGCCTAAGTGATTATGACCACTCCATCAAACGGCCAGTTGTTATGATGTGCACTGACCACCAGGGGGCAGACGCTAAATGCAGGAGCTGTCCCCTGGTGGTCAGTGCTCTTCCACGGCCACCCTTCCAAGGTCCCTCTCCCTGACCCTAATCACCCTGATCAGCCTGATTGGGACTGGGTTAGAAGGGCCCCAATGGCTCCGATCGCCCGCCAGGCTGAGGGTCGCCACCTGTGCACAAACTCGTGCACCAGGCCACTAGTGTGTTATAATTCGGACTACATAAATAGTATTTTAACCCAACTTTTGTTTAAGGTTTGCTCCTTTTTCATGGAATGTTTTGTCATTTTGCAATAGTAAGCTTCCCAAAAAGCTTTTTACTTTTTTCTCTTCCTTGTTAAGCTTAGGATAGCAGACACATAGAGATTCTCAATTATTAAAGAACGAAAAACCACAATTCTAATTTTGTGGGCTTTTTCCTTTCTTTTACTATTTTTTCTACTACCCCAATTCTGAATGAGCGTTCCTGCTTTTAGCTCAATAGCTGTTCTTGAGACAATTTTTAAAATCACTGCTGCAAAATAAACGTCCAATCACGTGTTTTCTGTAGCAACAACTTACTTGGAGGGCTCTTAGAGGAGGAGGTGCTCTCCTTAATTGCGGTCTCAAACATTTCAGGCCTAAAAACAAGAAAAAAAAACATTCTGTCAATTATCCAATAATAAAACATTAGAAATTAAACATGCAAAAGATTTTCTTACCAGTAATTCTCTGAAAACATACATTAGGTTCTTAGTAATGGAAAAACAGAAAAAGCAAGGTTATCTAAAGGAACATATACAAAAAGACTAATTATAATTGTGATTATAACATCCACCCAGCCCTATCTAATTTAAATAGCTTCTTCCTGTGATTTCAAGATGACCTGGAAAGATGCAGCGTCAGACCTGAGGACGGGAAGGAAATGCCCTTTATGAGGTGCATGGGAAGGTAAGGCAGGCTGTGAAAACTTGAACAAAAGTCTTTCTTCTTAGGAAGCCGAAGCAGAGGCCACAGCTCCAACAAACTTGGAGGCAAGTACCAAAGGTGGCCATTATGTTGGCAAAGTCAGCTTTGATTGTGTGACAGTAACTCTGGGTGACTCAAAAGTAAGTGATAATAAACAAAGCCTAAAACTCATTTAAAATAATTCTTGAGCATTGTTACGTATTTTCTAATTTTAACTATTCCCACAAGTTTCAACTGTACTGGTTTAATTCATAGGTCTCCAAGCAAACCGGAGAGAAATTTAAATATCGTGTATGTTGGAGAAATAAAATGATTTTATAAAACTAAATCACTGCTTAAATTCCAGCTTGCATCAACCATTAAAAATACAACTGTGGGTAGACTGAACAAAATAAAGTTGTTATCCCTGTGATGAGTTAGAGCCCTCCTTCCCTCTTTTAACCAATTATGAAAAATTTTAAACATATATAAAAGTATAACTTAAAGAGCTTTGTTGACACGAGGGCTGATATGGCCCTATTATATTACAAAGGTAAATCCACGAACCACCTCTCAGTGGCAAACAGTATCAACTCATGGCCAATCTCATTTCCTTACTTTTTAATAATGAACTTAATTTTGGCTTTGTTTCTGAGTATCTTCTCCAGCCGTGGAATGCCAAAAGTAGATGGTCGTCGGAATGGCACACCCTCAGGTAAGCCTTCTACATAAAAGTCTTCTGGGAAAGACTCAAATAACGCAAATGGCACTTTCACAGCTTGTTTAAGGCCCAGAGCTTCACCTACAAAACACACATATATTTCTTATATTTAGAACTTAAAATGCATTTTAAATTACATTTTGTGATAACAAAAATTACACTTAAAAGGTTCTCGATGCTTGGATAAGCACGAGAAATTATGAAATTCATATCTGCAAGACCCACACACTTCTAATAACAGCATAATTTAAATGTTGAACATTTTACTCTGCTTACATTCTTCAATTTTTGTTACTAATTCTCACCCAAGGATATTTTTTCCATTGCTTTTCAGAGAGAGTGAAAGGGACAGAAGGAAGGAAAAGGAGAGAAACTTCAATGTGAGAAACACATCAACTGGTTGCCACTAGGGAGGACTGCCCTTGAATAGGAATCGAACCAGTGACCATTCTTGCATGGATTGACTAACCATTGACCCACACAGGCCAGAGCACATTCTTCTCTTGCTAAAAAGGTGCCTTATGTTTGAATAAAAATGCTTCAAAATAAACTTACCACATTTTTCATTGAAAAGATTTTCAACTTTTTGTTTTAGATCTGTGATTTTGGCATTCCAGGCCTCTGTACATAAAAAAACAAGATAGTTAATTTGTTGATAATATTTACTTATATACTTCCATGGTCAGGGATTTAATTTATTGTACATCTTCTTTAAGTACAAAGTAAGAAAATACTTTGTACTTAACATGGTTTGACAACTACTCTAATCCTGAAACATTATTTAACTGTTTTATTATATCATTAATATGTTGGCTACAAATAAATGACATATGCTAAAGCAAATAAAAAAACAAATAAAGCCCCCCAAACCTCCCAAAAGACAAGTATAGCATCTATTAGATATCAGATATAATTCTACCCTGTACAATGATTTTGTATTTATAATCCTCCTCATAATCCAATGAACCAGGAAAGTAATGTTTTCCCCATTTACAAATAAGGAAACCTGGGCACAGAAAAGTTCAGCAGCTTACCCAAGATCACAGAATTATATCGTACTGGCAGCAGAATTGAACTTACGCTGTCTGACTATAATCTATGTCTTTAAGTACTAATTAATAATATAGTAATAAAAAGAAAAACAATCCCCCTCGTAAAATAAAGTATTTTTATAATTTCCTTTCATTTAAAATGATGAAATCAAGACAAATAAAATCCATATTTACCAAAGGAAAACTCTCTCCCTCGAGGCTTAAAGGGAACGTTAGAGCCATTTGTCTGAGTAGGGGTTCGAACAGCGGAAGTCTGAGGGCTGTTGTTATTAGGGCCTAAAGAATTAAAAAACAACAGAATCAACACACACATTTAATCACGCCACAGAAGCCTCGCCTACGCTGGAAAACAAAGCAGGTGTGAACAGCATATAAGCTCCTGCAATGAAAACAGCCACTGCTGCCAGCTGCACAGACTCCCACCCATTTTGCTATTTCTATCCCTACAATTAGACATTCTCTCCCAAAACAGAATTAGCTTTCTGGCTCTTTGTAGTTATATTCAATTCACTTAATGCTTCATCATGCCCTCTTGGAGCCACGTAATTTTTGGTTACCCAAGTCTGTTTATGTTTTCCTTTCAACCCTTGAACACAAGCACAACTTTAGGTACAATTGTATTACCTCCAGTATTAAGTGTTCCTTTGGATTCTCTCACCGACCTGATATATCCATTCTTTGAATTCTTGGCACAACTTAGAAACAATCAGTTGTTTTCCATTAAGTAAAAATGAATGTTAGTTTTAGTTATCCTTACAAATCCCAGCCCTGTTAACTCTTTTTTACGTCGGGTCATCTAGTGCTTAAACTGGAGTGGGGAACCTTTCTTTCTGCAAAGGGCCATTTGGATATTTACAACATTCGTGGGCCATACATGCCTTAAAAGGTTCTGAGATAACAAGTACAGCTGGAACAAGATGCAAAACAATGCATCATAAGACATGAGATTATCTGTCATCATTCAAACTGTGTTACTCTATTTAATCAGGACCTTTTCTCCTACGTACTATGCTCTCTGGAATGGCATTTCTCTCTCTGGCTGGAGATATTCTACTCTTCCAGCAAAGCCTGTTCACATGTAATCTTCTCTATGAAGCTTTCATAGACATCTTATGCAGTATCACAGTGTTCATACTGTCAAAGTCTATACGGTTTTAGCCCCAGGTTTGTCTGGTTTCTCAGCATCTAGGTCTTTCTACTAACAGTAACACCATAAGCATCTTACTTTTTACTTGAATTCCTTGAGGAAAGCATGAAAAATTTGTGTATTAGAGAAATCTTCCTCAGATCAAACATAGGAAAGTAAAGGATTGAGTACATTTAAACTAGTTTGCTTTTTTGTTTTATTGATTTCAGAGAGAGGAAGGGAGATAGGAGACCTGGGCATATACTCTGGCTGGGAATCAAACAGTGACCTTCTGGTTCTTCGGTCAACATTCAACCACTGAGCCACATGAGTCAGGCTACATTTAAATTCAAATTTTAAGAGAAATTATTAAGCTGGTGTATAATATCCATATATTGAACAAGAATTCTTGATGCCTTTCATATGAAAAAACAGGTTCTCTGTGAATATACAAGATAACTAAATAGGGATGGATTAAGGCTCCACTTGGTATGAATTCCACAAATCTAATGGAAGTGTAGAAAAGAAAAACCTGAGGATGCAGAAGGAAGTTTAACCTAAGGTACTGTTTTTTATTTTATTTTTTAGAATACATTTTATTTATCTTTATTATTCTTCACCTGAGGATATTTTTCCATTGATTTAAGAGAGAATGGAGATGAGAGACAGAGAGAGAGAGAAACCGTGATGTGAGAGACACACATTGATTGGTTGCCTTCCACACGGTGATCAAGCCTGCAACTGAGGCATATACCCTCGACCAGAATTGAACCTGGGACCCTTCAGTCCGTGGGCTGCCTGGCAAACCATCCCTAAACTTTTTATTTTGTGAAAATAAAATAGGAAGTAAAGGATGGCAGGAAAAAAAATTCCACACATTTCTGTCACCTTTAAAAGTCAGAAAAATGTTTTAGGGATTTTCTTCCAACTAGTTTATAATATGCTCAATGTTAACCATTTTGAAAATTTCAATTAGAAACATTCAGAAATTTAGCTTTAATCAGGTAGTATATTACATCTAAAACTAGTATTATAAAAACTCACTTGCATAAAAATACACATAGTAATCTGAATAATCAACAAACATAAGTAGTGAGGTGGAAAATCAACAGAAGCATGCCACAGAGTGGCTCACCTTCCACAGTGACCTCAATTTCAGGAACCTTTGAATTACTCCCAGGGCTTCGTGGTCTTTTTGGGGACTGCAAGGCTGTCAAGTAAGCACATAATTATTTTTGCATATTGTAAGAAAAACAGAAGGGGATGCTTTATAAGAGCAGAGTATTAAAATTCATACAGTTTGGCTCTTTTCAAAGAAACCTGAAGAATTAAACTGGTAGTGTTATCCTCCACATGAGTCTCAACAAAGCTGTGGAAACATGAACGGAGGATTGCAAACATGAAATTTTAAGTGAATGTTTGAAAAAACAAAAGGTCCATTAAATAAACTACCTTAAAAATATTGGTCAATGATTCAGTATGATTTAGGTAATGTTGAAAAACAATGTTTTAATGCACTGAAGTATAATAAAGAGTATATATAGTCTCTTACCTTTAGTGTTTATTTTACTAGCCATTCCTGGAGGCAAGTAGGAAATAACTAGTTCAGGTCTAGAGGAAAAACAAAGAAGCATTATAATAACCAGTATAATATGGTCTTCATAGCTAGTAAAAATGATCATGACCAATATTTTTAATAAAGGTGATCACAGGATCATTCTGTAATGCAACAATAATGTCTACCTTACTGAACCTAAAAATCTACTTTTCCTTCCCACAACTATCACTTAAATGATTTTAGGAAAAATAAATAGCTTCTTTCATCAAAATTAACACTAGTTTCTGCAGCTTTTAAAATTATGGAGACATTAAAAGCAATTACATAGTAAAAAAAAAAATAATAAAAAATAAATAAAATGATGGAGACAATAAGAAACTTAATCATTGAGATTCAGTTGTCCCTAAGTTTAACCAGGAATAAGAGAAAAGATAAAAATTGGCATTTTCATCCTCCATGCAAATATTCAGCCACATTAAGAGAAAGTTGTCTCTAACTAACTTGAATATCACCATTGTTAAGCAGGTGTTATAATTCTTTTTGTATTAATGAAGAAAAGTCAAGTAAAAAAAACTTGCAAAGGCAATGGACAATGCCAGGACTGTGGCTCAGAGCTATGCTTTTTCATCATGGATGTCAAAGGCTTAGCTGTCACATGTAGCTAGAAAATAATTTAAATAGAAATAATAACTTTATCATAATTCCAAAAATGACTACATTGGCAAATAGAACTTACTTTTTAACAACAAACTTGATTTTATTACTGCCACGAACAATCCTTTCAAGTCGTGGAATTCCAAACCAGGTAGGGCTTCGGAAGGGAATTCCTTCTGGCAAGCCTTCTACATAAAGGAACTCAGGATTTGATTCAAACACAGGGTATGGTACTTTTACTGCCTCTGTGAGTCCAAGAGCTTGAGCTGAAATTGGGGAAACAAACAAATAAATAAACAAACGGCAGGTAAAATTTTACCTTTTATTTTTCTCTTGACAGCATTATCTTTTTATGTTTTATCTTTTTAAGAGGTGTAACTAACATATAACATCATATTAGTTTCCAGTGTATATTGTAACAATACAGTATTTGTACATATTGCAAAATAATCACCACAATTAATCTAGTAAACATATGGACATTCTCAAATATGTTATGCAAAAGTTCCCTACAATCCATTAATATCCATTCAACAGGAAGGCTTAGTATATTGTGCAAAACTGAAGAACAAGCCTAAAAAATAAGTACTTTTAGGATGAACATTTTAACACTTCAAATCAAAGGGACTAGTCAAAATTATGTCTGTGCTCTGAGCAGAATGAACTATAGCACGTTCCCAGCCTTTGTATGACACCTAGATGCAAGATTGATGTTTAAAAAATAAGTTGCATAAGATGTATCTAAGCATAACTCAAGTTAGAGATCAGAGGCTGAGTAATTAAGATTCCTGATATAGGACACAAACGTCAAAACTTGGTATTAAAACGATGGATGGGACCACCCAAGGAATACTGCTATCTCTCCCACTCCTTATTTCCTTCTCCATGACGGATACACCCAATCAACTGAAACACTCTTGCTGGGCCTCCTCAGAATCCTTATCAACACATGGCTCCAGGAAACCGCTGTCAACAAATCTATGTTGAAACATATGGTGAAACCTATTGGCCATCCGGTGTTAGCCAGATCAGAAGTACAGCAAAGGAAATGAGATTTAGCCCAACTCCTCCCTCGCTCTCCCATTTTGACATATGAGAAAACTGAATCCAAGAAAAATAAAATTGTTCAATTTGAATAGTGAATTTAGTAGCAGAAATAAAACAAAACCCATTTGGGACAGTCCTTTTTTAGGTCAGGAACTGATAGAATTCATTCAGAACACTGCATTTCATTTGTTTTTCAATTAAGACATAATCACTGAATTTTACTTACCAAATTTCAAATTAAAAATCTCTTCCACTTGCTTCCGTAGCTTGGTAATTCTGACATTCCAATCTTCTTTGACTACAAAGCAAAAATAAAGCTAATTAACAATGCTCCTTATTGGTACTGACATCAAATTAGATTGAATGCTGTTCTTTCCAGTGATGCTCTTTTAAAAAAAAAAAAAATTGAGATGTGATTGACATATAATAGTGTATTAGTTTTAGGTGTATAATCCAAGGATGCTCTTAATTCAATTTTATTTAAGAACAAAAACACTGGATCTTAAGGAAATAATGATTTCCTGCCCTAGCCAGTTGGCTCAGTGAATAGAGTGCTGGCCACAGAATGAAGGGTTCCAGGTTTAATTCTGGTCAAGAGCATGTATGTGGGTTGCAACTAATCGATATGTTTCTCTTATATTGATGTGTCTGTCTTTACCCCTTCCTTCCACACTCTCTAAGCCAATGAAAAAGTATCTTCAGGTGAGGATTAACAATAGCAACAACAACAATAACAACAACAACAAAAAGAATGATTTCCTGCACTTGTCAAATATCAAAAGAACGGAGATAAACAGGGTTCAAACTTAAGTTCGCATTGTAAATAAAGAACTTGTTCATGTTCAGCCTAGCCAGTGTGACAGAGTAGTTGAGTATCAATCCCTGACTTAAGAAGTAGCTGGTTTGGACCCGGAGCAGCTGGTTGTGGAACGGACCAGAGCAACAGAGGCCAGGCCCAGAGCAGCCTGCTCCTCACCTCCCTCCCCTCCCCCCAAGGCTGCCTCTCAGACATGGCTGGAAACTTTTTCGGGAACTTGAGGGTCTGCTGAATCAAGTGATGAAGGCTTAGATCTGGATGTGTTGAGTTAGTATAGCGCTGGGGTGTTGATCTGTGAGTGGCTTGTGCGGGGCCTGGATGAGGTTGGTTGACCTATTTGGAAATGTCTTTTGTGTGAAGTGTATCTTTGGGCATGTGGAAGTATTATTGATATGAGAAAATGCTAAGTAACTGATTTACTATCTGAAAAGGGATTTACTATTGGGGAAAGGGAGGGAGGAAGAGACTGAACATAAACTGTGCACCTATGGATTAGAACAATGGGGGAGGGGAAGGGGGGCGGAGGGTTGGGTGGGAACCTGGTGGAGGGGGAAAGAAATGAGGAACCTTTGTAATAATATGAACAATAAAGATTGATTTAAAAAAAAAAAGAAAAAAAAAAAAAGAAGTAGTTGGTTTGATTCCCGGATGGGGCATGTACCCATATTTTGGGCTCAGTCCCTAGTGGAGTGGCTGATCAATGTTTCTCTCTCATCAATGTAACTATCTCTCTATTCCTTTCCCTTCCTCTAAATAACTTTACACTAATAAAAGAAACTTGTAAATTGACTGTCACTCGGCTATGCACACCAGCCAATCAGGAACAAGTATGCAAATCAACACAACAAATATGGCAGCAGCTATGGAGCTGGATTGAGCAGGAGGCTTGGGTTTCCCCTGGCGACAGAGGAACCCAAGCTTCCTGCCCGCCCTGGCCTTCATTGAAGGAGTGGCTGGGGGGGGTCTAGGTCCCTAGGGGGCGTGGCCAGCCTGCAAACAATCATGAGCCCCTTACCCAAGGTGGCCTGGAACCCCAGTGGGAACCCCCACCCAGAAGCAGGTGTGGCCAGCTTGAAAACAGCCTCCAGCCCTTCACCAAGGCTGACCATGCCCCCAGGGGGGAGGTTCCCCCCTGGGGGCATGGTCAGCCTTGCCATGGCTGCAAAATGTTCGTTAGAAGTTTTGCTTTAAAAGAAAACTAGCATCTCAAGGATTTAGCATGGTAGCTTAACCATTCAGCCAGAGTAACTCTGGTATAAACCAAATCTGAATTATTACTATACAGATATCTAGCCTCTCCTTATCCAAGGTAAAGAGCTTCTGTTAACCTGTTGCTCAGCCACCCCTTCTGCTTCACCTCATCCTACATTTCCTTTTCTGGTATTTACAAAGGATCTCTGAACTAGACCTCAGAAGAGCCACGTAATATAATACCACCCCATTCTTCCCATTCAAAGCTCAATTATCTGGCTAGCTCCACAACTTTCTCCTAGTTAACATATTATCTTTTATCAAATTGAAAGTGAAGTACACCCATAGTGTATTTAAGCATACAAATTGTTACCTAATCCCAGGTCATGCCAAGAATTGAAAAAACATTGCTGATGGCAATATTGACTAACAAAACTTCTGTTGTATAGACTAAACTTGATTTGGCCCAGCAAGACTAATGACTGGTTGACTGGAACACCAACTTAACATTTTGTTGGGATGAAGAACGATAACCTTTAATTCTTTCTAAAATCTATGACTAATAGGAGGCCAAACATTGTTGATGATTCAGAGAATCGATTCTTCTTTTGATAACAGGACTTGAATTATCTATGCTAGGAGACAGCAGATAAAGTACTGATGAAAATGCTATTACTCAATCCTTGGAGTGACATCTATGGTGCCTGTATATCCTTTCAATGATGCATGTTTAACATTCTCAGTTTGCAGGAAATATTAAGCAGTGATCATATTAATCACAAACCTCAATTTGAGGTCTGTCTTGAGAAATGAAAGCTCATTCATAGACTTCCACCATATTCTGGCTAATCAATATTAAAGCTCTATCTTTGGGAATATATATATACTTTTATATTACTTCCCTTGGCAAAATCTGTGTCATCTCCAATCTTCAATTCATCATCAATACATTGTTTCTTTGCCTAAATCAAAAAAAGCATGCTGAGGTGGTTGCTGTGCTGATTTTGATGCTCAACCTGCAGGATTTCTGGCACAGAAGAATTTTGTTTCCCTAGTTTAGTATTTCTCAACCATTTTTCATGCCACAATCAATACAAAATTATACAACCTATTTGGCATACTGGCTGACCTTTACCAGTTGCTGCAGGTACCCTAAGGGTTGAAAGATGAGTATTTTAGTATAGACAAATAATTCCATCTTGTATAACAGTTCATTCACCTTAGTATTTACAAGAATGGTTAACTGCACACACAGAGGAACAACCATTGGTTCTTGGCAACAAAGTCCCTATGATTGTAAAAGATATACAAGTTGTGGTCACTTTTCTGACACTCTCAGTGGGAAACAAAGATGACAAAGAGCCCAGCCAGCATGGTTCAGTGGTTAAGCATAGACTTGTGAACCAAGTCACCGTTTGATTCCCAGTCAGGGCATATACCCAGGTTGCAGGCTCAATCCCCAGTGTGGGGAGTACAGAAGGCAGCAGATCAGTGATTCTCATCATTGTTATTTCTATCTCTCTTTCTCCCTTTTCCCTTTCTCCTGAAATTAAAAAAAAAAAAAAAAAAAAAAAATTAAAGATGGAAAATAAAAGACTTATAGCTTAAATAAAGAAAATAAAACATTCAGCCAAAACCGGTTTGGCTCAGTGGATGGAGCGTCGGTCTGTGGACTGAGGGGTCCCAGGTTTGATTCCGGTAAAGGGCATGTATCTTGGTTGCGGGCACATTCCCAGTAGGGGGTGTGCAGGAGGTAGCTGGTCAATGTTTCTCTCTCATTGATGTTTCCAGCTCTCTGTCCCTCTCTCTTCCTCTCTGAAAAAAATCAATAAAATATATATATATAAAAAGAAAACAAAATAAAACCATTCACATAATTAAAACTGAGATTTCATATTTCCTTCTATTGGTCAGTGCAGCTGTTGGAATTACAGTATTTGTCATCTAAAATATAGGGTATGGCCCTGTTCAGTGTGGCTCAGTTGAAGCAATGTCCTGTACACCAAAAAGTAGCGGGTGTGATCCCCAGTTGGGATGCATAAGGGAGGCAACCGATCTATGTTTCTCTCTCACATCGATGTTTCCTTTCTTCTCTTTAGTCTGTCTTTTCTTTTCCATCCCATTTCCCTCTCTCTCCTGCTCTATCCTACCCCACCCCTTCCTCTCCGTCTCTAAAAGCAATACAAAGCATTTCTCAGGTGAGGGAAAAGAAAAAAGATGAAAAAACAGGGTCTGTGTAAAGATTAAAGTTTAAAACTGCATCGTCTGCAATATTAGCCATATCTGACAGCTGAGTACTTAAAACGTGGCAAGTTGAATTGAGATAAGAGTATAAAATACATCTGGGCATTTCAAATAGAATATCCTATCCTATATAATAAAAGGCTAATATGCAAACTGACTGATTGGCAGAATGACCAGGGGGCAGACGCTCAGCTCAGGAGCTGCCCCTTGGTGGTCAGTGCATTCACATAGCCAACCTCCCGCAGCTGGCCGGCCAACCTCCCGTGACCCCTCCCAGACGGCTGCCTCCCCTTCCCTGACCCCCATCACTGGCCAGGCCAAGGGACCGCTCAGCCAGAAGCCGAGCCCATGGCTGGCGAGCGCAATGCCAGTGGCGGGAGCCTTTCTCGCCTCTGCAGCAGCGCTAAGGATGTCCAACTAAGGGCTCCTGGACTGCAAGAGGGCGCAGGCAGGGCTGAGGGACCTCCCTGAGTGAACAGGTTTCATACACTCGGCCTCTAGTAAACTAAAGAAATAAAAAATGCAAATTCCTTTACCATGTATATTTTATATTGATTAGGTTGAAACAGATTTGGTTACTAGAAAATTTAAAATGACATATGTGGCTTGCATTTGTGACACCCATTTTATTTCTACTGAACACCACTGGTCCAAATTCAAAGCTCTAAAACTGCTTATGTTCATATTGATAAATCAAGTAGTGTCTGTACTAAAACTCCTCAAAATATATTTTTGGAGAAAGAAGAGGAATTCCATTGCTTTAAAAGATTTTTTAAAAGCTTAAAAACAATTTATCTAATAAGCTTTCCCCCCTTTATTTATTTATTTATTGATTTTGAGAGAAAGAGACAAAGGAAAGAGAGAGAGATCAATTTATTGTTCCATTTATTTATGCATTCATTGGTTGCTTCTTCTATGACCCTAATCAGGGATCAAACCTCCAACCTTGATGTATCAAGACAACGCTTTAACCAAGTGAGAAATCTGGCCAGGGCTTCATAAAGGAATTCACAGTTATTTTACCTGGTGTGTTCGTTCTTGGCTGAGTGACTTCAGTAGTGCTGTGAGTCAGAAGTTCCGGTCTGTAAAAGTAAGTTGACATTAAAGCCTTCTCCACACATATGTGCAGGGCCACTGATTCAATATGGTTCATTCTGCCTTCTTGTGCAATGAAAAGTACCATTCTGGTGACTCCAGATTATTTTGAAAATAGTAATTTTAACAGATTCAGGTGGAACTACCTGTATGACCTCAAATACATTTTAAGATTAAATGTACAAAACCTTTCCCCCAAACCAGCTCAACCTTCTTTTTTAAAATGAAATATATCACAATATACCTAGAAATATCTAGCTATGTCATCCTAAAGTTGCCTCTCCCTTAGACAAGTAGTCCCAACAAACATACACAAATGCACAACCCACAAACAGTAATAAGTAAGAGTCTATACCCACCACAATCTTTCCACATTAAAAACAGCCCTTCTTTTTACCCGCCCTGCTCCCAAATTACCCATTCTGCTATCCTTCAAACCCAAGTTAAAACAGCATTTCTAAAATGCAAATCCAAATTATTTTAAGGGGAATCAGCTTTAAAATTGTCTAATTACTCCACTGATTAGATAAGACAAAGGCCCTTCCTCTACCTGGCTGCCTTAATCTATCTATCACTCAGTACGAGGCATCTCAAACCACTCTGCACAGAATGGTGCAGTTAGGTAAAATTAAAGTACATTTGATATTTCCTGCCCCACTTACATTATTTCCTTTATTTGAAATACTTTTTTCTCCAATCTCTATGTACAACTGACCAATCTATATGCTACCCCTAATCTTCTACCCCAAAGTGCTTAGTAATACTTTATTACATTTATCTCTGCAACAAGTCTTCTGAATTGTCATACCCAATTTTGTACATCTGGTGCCTGGCTCTAAATAAACATTTGCTCCATAAATGAATCTAAATGTAACACCTTCATTCTGAATACTAGAATAAGTCCAACTGAGAAGTGAACAAAAGGTCGTCCATTTTCATGAAATTAATCTTTAAGACAATATTAAATTTGTTTCTGTAGATTATAATCTTACCTTTTAATAACAAATTTAATTCGATTGCCCACTTGAATAATTTTTTCAAGCCTTGGGATTCCATACCATGAGGGACTTCTGAAAGGAATGTTCTCTGGTAGTCCTTCCACATAGAGATCATTAGGATGTGCCTCAAATTTCTGGTAAGGTACAGCCTTGGCTTCAGTGCTCCCCAAGGCTTCAGCTTTACAAAAGAAAAACAGTTCAGGAGACTAAGTTCCTGCTCAATCATATTTTGGTACAATCCAAAGCAATGTATAATACATGTCAATGTTTTAAAAAGCCAATTATACTCTAGAAACAATACACCAGCCACAAAATAGACTTAAAGTAGCAATTGAAGTATAAAGGGCCCCTCATCAAGGGTAACTTGTGGTGGACTTAATGTTTCCTGATTCTACAATCATCTTAATAACACTAAGATCTTGTTATAAAAAACTTTTCTGTATCTTTCAAAAAAAAGAAAAGAAAACTATGACACAATAGAGTATCTGGGAGTTTGTTACACTATTCTTTCCCCTTTGGTACAGGTTTAGAATGTTTCATAATAAATATATATTTGAAAACAATAAAGAAAAACTAGAAGTGAGTCATATTTATTGTATTTACTTTGTTAAAGCAAAATTTGGGAAAATTATTCTATAATATATTTAGTTAGGGGGAAAATTAGACTTACCAAATTTTTTGCAGAAAAGCTGATCTACCATCTTTCGTAATTTAGTGATTCTGGCATACCACTCTTCCTTTACTGTAAGAAAAAAAAGTATTTCCTTAATTTGATGGCATTAATATAATTATGAAATAGACAATATCATTTTGCTATTCTGACTAAAATTATTCCTATTTCAGAATGTGTTTATTAAAAGTGCTAACACTGAATAAAAAGAGTAAGAACAAATAAAACAAATGACAAAATGGAAATTTATAATTTAAGATAGTTTCACATAGGTAATAGGTGCCCTAAAGCGTCATAATTAAAGGTAGAAAATAGTACATTTCAGTTTACTCAGAAACAGCTAGCAGATTTAAGCAATGATAAATTTAGGCATTTAGACTACTAGCAATCATTCCAGTACACAAACTCTAAGTGATGCAAATTGTATTTAAAAAAAAAACTTTTTAAAAATATGTTTTTATTGCCTGGCTGGCATGGGTCAGTGGTTGACCATCCACCTATGAATTAGGAGAGCATGGTTCAATTCCCAAGCAGAACACATGCTTGGATTGCGGGCTTGATTCCTGATGGGCGTGCAGGGGGCAGCCGATTGATGATTCTCTCTCATCATTGATGTTTCTCTCTCTCTCTGAAATCAATAAAAACATATTTTAAAAATATGTTTTTATTGATTTTTAGAGAGAGGAAGGGAGAGGGATAAAGAGATAGAAATACATATGACAAATATCATTGATCGGCTGCTCCCTTTACAGCCCCTACTGGGGATCAAGCCAGCAACCGGGGCACATGCCCTGACTAGGAATCAAACCGGTGACTCTTGGTTCACAGGTTTGAGTTTAACCACTAACCCACACTGGTTGGGTTTAAATTTTTTATTTATTGATTTGAGAGGGGGGGGGGGGGAGGAAGGGGAGAAAGAGAGGAGAGACATAGGCATTGATTGATTTGTTGTTCCACTTATTTATACATTCATTGGTTCATTCTTATATGTGCCCTGACTAGGGATCAAACCTTGGCGTATCTGGATGATGCTCTAACCAACTGAACTACCCGGCTAGGGCTCAAATTCTATTTTATATACCCACCCTACTCTAGTCTCTTGCAAAAGCAAGCAAGAGAACAAATCAAAATTGTATTTCCTTCAAAACACATCTAACAAACGATAATACTGCTGCCTATATGCTTTAAGAAGTATATCTTGTTATGTCCTTGGTATAATGATGAATGATTATTTAATTGGCTAATGTATACTTGGGTAATAAAATGTTCAAAAGCCCTTGCTGGTTTGGCACAGTAGTCAGCCTGTGGACTGAAGGGTCCCAGGCTGGGGGCACATGCCTGGGTTGCAGACTTGATTCCCAGGAGGGGACATACAGGAGGCAGCTGATCAACAATTCTCTCTCATCACTGATGTTTCTATCTCTCTCTTCCTTTCTAAACTCAATAGAGAGATATATTAAAACCAAAAGCAATGTAAAAATCCAGAGAATGAAAGAAATTAATTTTTTTAAAAATTGTTCAATATTTTATCCCAGATGTTTGCATCTCAAAAGTAGAACGGACATGCTTCTTTTGGTGTACCCAAAAATATGATGTAGATTTGTACTTATTTATAATGGGTTGCTATGAAGAAAATGAGTTCATTGTTCTAGAGAGCATTGGAAATATTTTGACATTGTGTGTGTGTGTGTGTGTGTGTGTGTGTGTAAATAAATAAATAAATATATTTATTTTATTTTATTTTTTTAAATATACTAGTGGCCCAATGCATGGATTCATGCATATTGAGAGGGCACTCTGCAAAGTTGCTGTTGCTCGGCAGCTCCAGGGTTGAGTGTCTGCCTCCTTGTAGCACTGCGTGTCATAGCTACTGGTCAGATGGTTGGATAGTCGCTTAGACTTGTATATATATATATATATACATCTTTATTGATTTCAGAGAGGAAAGGGGAGAGAGTGATAGAAACATCAATGATGAGAGAGAATCATTGATTGGCTGTTTCCTGCATGCCCCCTACTGGGGATTGAGCCTGCAACCTGTGCATGTGCCCCTAAGCGGAACTGAAGGTAAGACCTGGACCCCTTAGCCTGCAAGCTGCCGCTCTGCCCACTGAGCCAAATCAGCTAGAGCACATTGTATATTTCTTATACATAAGGTTCTGATATGACTGGAGACTTACCTCCTGAAGCTGGTTTATCAAGTTGTAAGTCCTCACGTGTTGAATTCAAAAGTTCATGTCTATAAGGTAAGAAATAGAACAAAATATTCACAAGTAATATTGATCAAAGTAGTAACTACTACTACTTATTTAATATTCAGTCATCAAGACCATTTTCTAAAGAAAAAGACAATCTGGACTCCTGAGTAAAATTAAATTCTAACTTCTTGAGATTTCCTCAGAGAAATAAAACTCAATGGTAATTACACATTACTAGGCATTTAATAAGATGCTTCATAGAGCCTGCATCCTGACAGAAAAAGAGTTAACTTTGCAACCAAAGGCATTTTATAAAAGCATAACACCAAAGAAAGCAAACTACAAACATTTTAAATGAGCACCTTTCATTTTACATTTCATTCAGGACTACTAGTACCTTACTTCAACATATCAATAAATTAATGATAAAAATCCTAAATATATTTTAATACTAACATTTGTAGGGCAATACATTTGTTTTTAATTTTTTTCCTAATACACAAATAGGCCATAAGACACATATCAAGATCACATAATTTTCACAATCCCCGTATCACTCTATTTTATTGTAATGGCCTAAAACCGTGATTGGCAAACTGTGGCTTAAGAGCCACATGCAGATCTTTGGCCCCTTGAAGTGTGGCTCTTCCACAAAATACCACGGCCTGGGCGAATCTATTTTGAAGAAGTGGCATTAGAAGTTTAAGTTTAAAAAATTTGGCTCTCAAAAGAAATTTCAATCATTGTACTATTATTTGGCTCTGTTGATTAATGAGTTTGTCGACCACTGTGTGTGTGTGTGTGTGTACGGTGAGAGGCAGCAAAGATAAGCATAACCATGTCTACATTAACAATAATTCCAGAAATGATAGAATCTAATACAAGATTAGGTCAATGATATAAACAATATTTGATCAATAGTGAGCTGTGAAATAAAACATTTGCTAAACTCTATAGAATTACCCTTCTAAATAAACAAAACAGCTTTTGCTTAGCAAGACTAACCACATTATCCTTTGGGGAAAGGCTTTATAACATCCTTTCCAAATGTGGAAGATGGTTTCCCATAAGTGAGTATATTGAAAGGCCTTGAAACAGGATGTGCAAAGCATAGAGTAACTTGTGATAAGCTTGCATAAACCATCCAAACAGGGTTTTTATATGCTTAAAGATTAGCAAACATAAGCAAAGCCTGTTAAAATAAGTTATACATTTATTTTGTTATTAAAAATAAACTTCAATTAAGTTAAAAAAACAATTTAATAAAATGACAATTCAAAAGAGTTCTTAAAAGAATAAACTTATTAATACATCAATATGTGGGAGGGAGGGTGATTGTTGTTTATGGCTCTTGGCTTATGTCAGGATTTTAGAACAAGCCATTGTGTTTACCACTCAATTTCATAAGAGACTTGTAAGTCTTTTTAAAAAATATATATTTTTATTGATTTCAGAGAGGAAGGGAGAAGAAAGAGCTAGAAACATCAATGATGAGAGGAAATCATTGACTGGCTACCTCCTGCACGTTGGACTAAGCCCGTAACCCAGTCATGTGCCCTTGATATTAATTGAACCTGGGATTCTTTCGTCTGCAGGCTGACATTCTATCCACAAAGCCAAATTGGCAAGGGTGAGACTACTAAATCTTTAAACCACAATTTATTGCGGGGGAGAATCTGTTAGCAACAAGTTTCTCTCTGTGGAAGACCTGGTTTTACTCCCTAGAACCAAATGGTTTTTACTCCTAACCTGAGTTAGAGTACTAAAATTTTATGAGGCAACTCATTTTTTATACTTCTCTTTCCATTTTAAGTCAGTTGTTACTTGATGAGGACTATGAACCCTCTAGCGCTGTCACTGAAAATTTTTGTTTAGCAATTACATTTTATCATTTACTAGACAATTCTCCAATTGTTCTCCTTTACAAATATATCTAGTACTCATTGGAAATTTCCATGACAAAAATATGTTGATAAATGCCCTCTTAGTTTTTAAACTTTTATTGTACTCTTCATAGAATATAAGAGAATAGAAAACACAAAAATGGATGATATGGCTGCCATTTTAAAACGGAAGCATTTACACTTTCAATTCAATAGCTGCACTAATTTTTTTTCAATTCTCACCTGAGGATGTTTATTGATTTGGGGGAGGAGGGTGTAGAGAAGAGAGAGAAAGAGAGAGAGAGAGAGAGAGAGAAAGAGAGAGAGAGAGAGAGAACAAGCTAAAAAAAAACCCAGATAAATACTTTGTTACTACTTTCTTTAGCATACTTAGCCGAAAACTGGAAAATTGGAAAAGAAAATTACATTTGTATGCAATCATATATGAGCAGGTGTTCATGTTCCGAAAGCCAACTCTGATATGACTGACAAGTGGAAAATAAAATAATATATATAATAATTAAAACTTAATTTAAATATAGTCTAGTGGTCAATAGTTGTCAACAGTATTAAAAAAAAAATGCACTAATCATGAACAAAGAAGAGTCTTAGTCTTACTTCTTAATCACAAAACGAATTCTTTCCTTTGCAAGTAATATCCTTTCAAGGCGAGGAATTCCGTAAGTAGATGGCCTTCTAAAAGGAATTCCTTCTGGAAGTCCTTCTACATAAAGGTCTTCAACGTGTGACTGGAAAAGAGGGTATGGGATCGTCACAGGACCTTTGGCTTTTATAGCTTGAGCTTTAAGAATGAAAAGAGAAAGAGAAAAATCGTTAAATGATAAGGATTAAGCACAAAAAAGTTGAATATGTATTGCTCTGTAACTTTTATAATTAATCTTTATTTTCACTTATTATATTTGAATCAATAAAATAGTAAAAAAGAACTAAAAAGAACACCAAAGATGCTAATGTTCTATTTAACCAAATCTGCAATGAACTAATGTATATTCTGAAGTAATGTAGACCTAGCCAGACTTTCTCTTGAAATGTGAACATAAATGAACCCAGAAAAACAAATCAGTTGACATCACTTAACACATACAGTATGTAATAAAATAGTATTTTTAAACATTTAAAACATTAGTGTAAAGGATTTTCTTTTTTAAAATTGAAGCAGCCGAAACAGGTTTGGCTCAGTGGATAGAGTGTCAGCCTGCAGACTGAAAGGTCCCAGGTTCGATTACGATCAAGGGCATGAACCTTGGTTGCGGGCACATCCCCAGTAGGGGGTGTGCAGGAGGCAGCTGATTGATGTTTCTTTCTCATCGATGTTTCTAACTCTCTATCCCTCTCTCTTACTCTCTGTAAAAAAATAAATAAAATACATTAAAAAAAAAAATCGAAGCAGAAGATTTACCTAAAAATTCTGCTAGATTTATTTATCCAAGAAGAAAATAATGCAACAGCTGCAAAAAAGTGGAAAGCATGGAGTGTTAAAAATCAAATATACTCAAAATTGTAGTATTTTTCTATGGTGACAGATAGTTACTAGACTTATGATGATGATCACTTTGAAAGATATGTCAAATCTTTATGTTGTATACCTGAAACTAATAATGATGTATGTCAACAATACTCTAAGAAAAGAATAAGCTATAATGAGTAGACAATGATTTTGTTAAACTATAAACAAGAGACATTTAAATATCACTGGATATTAAATGTTTTTAAGTGTGATAGTGGAACTGAGATTAAGACAATGCCTTTATCTCACCCAGCTACCCATTTGAAATGACAAGGATTAAGTACAAAATCCTTTTGAGAGGTAAATGACATGATGCTAGGACACTGGAGTTTTATTAAAATATTCTTACATCAAAAAGAAATGGGACAATATCTGAGAGAAACCAAGATGGTGGCATAAGTAAACACCTGAACTTGCTGCTTCGAACAAACACTTTAAAACTACAACTAAAAGACAAAATGGACTTCATCCAGAACCACAGGAAGGCTGGCTAAGTGGAAATTCTACAACTAGAAGGAAAGAGAAAAGCATTCTGAGATTCAAAGGAGGTGTGGAAGTAAAGGAAGAGGTACAGAGGCACGCACACAGAAATAGCTGGCAAGCACACGGCGGTCTTTTTTAATCCACAGGAAGACACAAGCTCCCAACAACTCTGAACTCCAGTTCTGGCTGAGACACTGGGGAACCAGACTCATACAGGGAGAAACTGGACTGTCTGGCTTTCTCTCAGAGGTGCTTGCAGTGATTACCGAGGGACACTGAGACCCAGGGCCTTTTAGAGCAGGGCTGACTGGGAAGTCATTGCTGTGTGCTCCGCCCTGAGACTCTGTCCCACCCCAGCTGTGTGCAGAGCCTTTTGCATATGAATGACCTGGTCCTTTGAAATCTAAAATTACTACCAAACTGCAGCTGAGTCAGGGAGACCCAGAATATCTAAAAGAAGGCCCAAGGCCCCCACAGCAGCTTGCATTGCTGCACAGCTGGGCCTCATCTGGGCACCTCCAAAACCCAAACAAAGAAGAGGAATCTGCAGATCTCTGTAGCTCCAGCTGGGTGGCCTCAGGCAGAGGCTAAATTAGCACCTCCTTGCAGATCCAAGAGCCAGTGTACCCAATGGTCAGAGTGGGACCATCCAGATTACAACCCTTCAGATCCATAAGGGACACACTTAGGAGGTAGCCTCAATGATCACCAAAGCCCCTCTGAAGCAAGTCTTGCCTCATAAGGGTATCTCCAGCATGGAAGTTTTTCCATCGTAGACACAGCTGACCCTCATAGCCAATTGGCCAATATCAATTCCTCCCAGTGATACCAACAACAATAAAGGCTTATCTACAACAAGACTGTGCACAGAGCCCACAAAGGGGTGCACCAAGAGTGTCCACCTCAGGTAACTGGGGAGGCTGAGCCACTGGGCCCTATAGGACACCTAGCACACAAAGCCACTCTGTCAACACAGAGAAGCAGCCAAAAAGCAGAGACAAAGAAACAGGTCACAAATGAAAGAAATAGAGGAAAGCAAACAACTGGATATAGAATTCAAACTATGGTTACAAGGTTTTTCAAGAATTTTCTAGAAAAGGCCAATATATTTTAACACACACAGCACAGTTACCTAAAATGCTTTCTAAGTATGTTGAAAGAACAGCAGAGGTGCTAACAACACTGCCAACAAGGTCCCAAAGCACAAGTGACTCCTATGGATTCCCTTCAACCTCTCCTCCCTCAGGAATACTTTATGTAAAGCCTATTTGCTAAGCATTAATATTTGTACTACAGTTTTGAGTATACCATATTACACATTAATAATGAGCTAGATTTAAAAATCCTTTGTTGATATACATCTGAAAATCATGTCACATATAATAATAAAAGAAGCTTCCCCTAAGACAATCCCCATATGTTATGTTGCTTCCTACATAGAATATGTTATCCATTGTTGCTTTCAAGTGGACCAATTAAAATCACTGGCAAAAGGCTCTGACTATTGAAAAATGGGATAACTACTAAAAAAAACTTTAAAAAATGAGTGAAAATATTAAAGAAAAGATATAATAATAAATAATACAAGAATAAACCTTTTCACATACTCACAAATGTAAATCTACTTTTGCCCTACCCTGTATACAATTAATCCCCCAAACATACATGCTGAAAGTTTAAACAAAGATTCAAATATTTGGACAGATACTATCTAACGATCTTTCCAGGGACAGATAAACAAGTAAGGCACAATTCACTAGGAGAGCTGGATTTGCTTGCTCATGTTAGAGAGACAGTAACTCCATTGTAAGCTTATAAACAAAATATTAAAAGAATTTTTGAGTTTAGGCTTACCATATTTTCTTTCAAACAACTCTTCAACTTGTTTACGTAGATCAGTAATTCGAGCATTCCATTTCTCTAAAAATTGAAAGTTAAATCTCAATAATAAATCCCTGTTTGGGGGCACTAATGAGTTCTTAAGATAATCCAGTGTCTAATGTTTTTCTACATAATATACCCTAATTTTTAATAACCGATCTTCATCTATATAATTTTACTGCTTTCCTAATAACTTTTCCTATCTGATAGTTCTTAGAATTGGTTCAATAGCAGATTATAGGGAATGTTTTAAAGTTTATTTTCAAAATATCATACCAAGTACATCTTTTAGCCTATAATTTCTGAAAAATAGGAAAGCAGAAAAGAACCATAATACAGCACTACAAGATGGAGGTTAAAAAAAAAAGGAGGTCTCCAAGGTGATTCAGGAAACTGTCTAAATTGTATGGAAATGAGACTTTGTGACAAGTTAAAATATTAACATGTTTTCTTAAAAATGTACATAAGCTAAATGTTTTATCTATTCAGAATAGAGATCACAGCACAATTCACCACTAATATTTTATTTACTAGTAGTCCCTTCAAAAGGCTACATACATCATACACTAGAGTTTAGTTATATTAGCTTCTGGCAGTTACATAGAACAAGAAAAATTAAGATATTAAAATATATCTTAAATAAGGTTTTAAAGCTAAGAAAAATAATTAAATTACTAAGTCATTAATACCGATTTAAAGTCTACCTTTAGAAGATACAAAGTCGCATGCTTTGGTAAAACCAAACTATGTTTAAACAATGTAGTTACTTCAAACTGCCTGAGTTTTCCTCAGATTAGATTGCAAGACAATAATATATTTTAAAGCATGCTCCTAAAGAATGCTATAACTCTTGCCGAAACCGGTCTGGCTCAGTGGTAGAGCATCGGTCTGTGGACTGAAAGGTCCCAGGTTCGATTCCAGTCAAGGACATGTACATTGGTTGCGGGCACATCCCCAGTGGGGGGCGTCGGGAGTGTGTGCAGGAGGCAGCTGGTCGATGTTTCTCTCTCATGGATGTTTCTAGCTCTCTATCCTCTCCCTTTCTCTCTGTAAAAACTCAATAAAATATATTAAATAAATTTTTAAAAAAGAATGCTATAACTCTTATCACTAACAGAAAGAGTTGAGAATCAAAGAAAATAGGACTGTTTTTAACCAAGAACTTACCAAAGTTGAACTCCCTCACTTTCCGTTTCCCGGCATTGGCAGGCTCGGTAGCTGGTGGCTGGGGTGGCTCGTTGCTCTTTGGTCTCTTGGAAGGTGGAGAATAATCATCATCTTAAAAAAGAAAACTGTCATCACTAAGGGAACAGACTAAATGATTGACAGCCACCACCTAATAAATCCTCAACAATCAAAAGATATGAGGGGACATTAAATAATTATTTTAGTATCGTCATTTTCAGCATCTTTTTCCCAGTTACATTTGAAGTTTTCCTATTTTTTTGAGGTGTGCTCAGGTGCATCTCTCATTTTCCTTGTTGTCTTCATTTTATTTTACTTTGCTTCATTCGAACTGACAGTGTAAAATTCCCCTTCTCCTCTCATAACTTCTCTGAGATAGCTGCTAGAATTATATTCAATTTATCTTTCAAGAAAAAGGCTTTTAATAGAGACAGCTAGATGGGGAGACAAAATACAGCTTGAGTGGAAATATTTAAACTTTATATAAAATTCAAGCTTACATAAATAAGGCATGTTTAGTAACTATATATTAAACAACTTAAACACAAAATTTACAGAATTAAAGAAATAGGACTACATTAACTGTGAAACAAGTAATATTGATTTGATCAATATAAAACCTACGTAAAAAATGGGCAATCGTATTTAAGCACGGACTATAGACTTTTCAAGACGTGTAGTAAGAGTTCACACTAGTTTCCTCATGGATATGTCTATAACTCAACACTGCTATGATACCTTATAGCTAAAGCTAGACTTAAGGACATTTGGCTCACTTCCATTGTGTAGTCTCTGAAAATGACAAGTGGCACACTACTAAGATTTGTGCTCAAACACCATGTATAAATTATTGAAAATATAGTTTTAAGATATCTGTACTTAAAAATAAATAATAGAGAAGAAAATAATTACTGTGTTAAAGACACTAGCAATACAAAAAATCTAAAACATCAAAATATAAGCCACGTTTTTAGATCAGTGTAAGTTTCATTCTTGTTTTATAGGTATAGAAATAGGCTACGAATGTTATGTGACTTAACCATGTCACATCATTAGATAGTGCACCTGAGATTAGATTATGAGCAAAACTTTTTCTGGTAAACTATCAAACAGATAACATGAAATCCAAAATACAATGTTGCCTGAGAGCAACAGATACTAATCAAGGAAAATATCTGACTTATGCCTAAAATACTTGTATCTCTCACTGCATCAGAGTAACTGACATTGTTGCCCTGGAGCCCTGACTTTGGGTTCTTCCTATAATGCCAACAGATATTCTGTGAACCTGTGATTATTTACTGACTATTCTAATCGATAAAAGAAAAAGGCACCAATGTCACCAATACCAGACAAGGTGTTATTATGACCCATCCATGTGCTAGGAAAGACAAAGGTGCTGATTTCAGGAAAACATCATATAGACAACTTATGACACTAAAACATTTTCATGTGTTGCCCAGCCAGCATGGCTCAGTGGCTGAGCACCAACCTATGAACCAGAAAGTCACGGTTTAATTCCTGGTCAGGGCACATGCCTGGATTGTGGGCTTGATCCCCAGTGGGGGACTTACAGAAGGAAGCCAATCAATGATTCTCTCTCATCATTAATGTTTCTCTCTCTTCCTTCCTTTCTAAAATTAATAAAAATATATTTTAAAAATAAAACATTTGGGCCCTAGCAGATTTGGCTCGGTGGATAGAGCACTGGCCTGCAGAGTGTAGGGTCCCTGATTCAATTCCAGTCAAGGGCACATGCCCAGGTTGCAGGCTAGATCCCCAGTAGAGGGTGTGCAGGAGGTAGCAGATCAATGATCCTCTCTCATTAATGATTCTTTCTTTCTTTCCCTCTCTCTCCCTTCCTCTCGGAAATAAATATTTATAAATAAATAAATAAATAAATAAATAAGCAAATAAATAAAACATTTGGCTTTCAATTCTGAAAACATGAGAAAAATAAACCCTCTTTTCTATTGTCCAGATTTTTAGAAGCTGAAGAGTATTTATATGCTAGTTTCCAAGATAAAATGAAATATTCGTTTCACCTATGAATATTATCAAAGTATTTTAAACATTCAATATTAATATTTCTGCCCAAACATTAAGCAATGATATTTAAAACAAAAGTATTTTCCCTACAGGATAATGTCATCTAAAATATCTATAGATCATCACTTAAACAGGTTGTTAATTGAATTACATAAAATGAAAGCTGAAAGAGTATAAAATAAAAATGTAGCTGTAGAATAGTAATTAATAATTGCAGTTATCAATCTCAATTATAATCTAAACTGTTCAAAACTGAGGTCAAGATGAAAGACCAAGAGTGCTTTTCTTTAGTATCAATACCTCACTTTTTCAGTCTATTTTACAAGAAAGAATTTAAAAGTACAAATATATTTACAAAAGTAACCTCAGTGATCATAAGTAGGAAAAAGGCAAACCTGGGAGGATATTTAACAAGACAATATAAGAATTATAATCTTTAATAAAGATTATAAAATATAAAAAAGTGATAAGTAATGAAGTTCAATCTACTAAATGTGAACAAACACAAAGAGATGAATTTAATTATTTGTGCTGATAAAATATCACGCCACACATCAAATGAAACATGGAATTAAGTCTTAATAGCAATGAACTTAGTCACACCTTCCATTTTTTCTCCATTTTACTGCTATAAAACAACTATAATTGATGTTGAGAAAGCAGAAAATGTTTATTGACCTCAAAATCAAAATTATTCCTCTGTATCAGAGAATATCAAATAAAGCTCCAAGAGTTATTTCTAATAATTGGGTCCAGCAATAGTGCTGTGTTCTAAATAAGTGGTGTTTTAACATTATAAACAATCACTTTTTTTTAAAGGACATTTTATTAATTAATTAATTTATTTATTTATTATATATTTTATTGATTTTGTACAGAGAGGAAGGGAGAGAGTTAGAGAGTTAGAAACATCGATGAGAGAGAGTCATCGATCAGCTGCCTCTTGCACAACCCCTACTGGGGATATGCCTGCAACCAAGGTACATGCCCTTGACCGGAATTGAACCCAGGACGTTTCAGTCCCCAAGCCGACGCTCTATCCATTGAGCCAAACCAGTTTCGGCTAAACAATCACTTTTATATAAAAAGACACTTTCAGGATGCTTCAAAATTAAGCCCAAACTATTTATAGCATCAAAATTAAAAGCTTATAAAACAAGTTGCAAAATATTTAATATGCAAAAGCTGTTATTCAGGACTATATAACAGTTACTCTATCAGTACTAATACAAATGACTCCACACCTCAAAAAATGGCAGCAGCAATCTCTAATTCAACATTTGTATTTAGAAATAAATCTGTTTTTCTTTTAGCATCATATTTACAAATATGCTGATCAATAAAACAGACTTCGGAGCTAAATTTTATTACTGCAATCTTATCGGTGAATGCATTAATAGGATATAAAACATTTTCTGATACTCTTATTTTCAATATGAACAAATTGGTAATGATTTATCAGATAATCTGATACTTATTCTAAGTAAACAAAAAATAAATTAAAATCAACCAGGCACTGTATTTCCTTTAAAATTATTCAAAGCTATTAATTTCTCTACTCATTTCAAATTGATCCAGGCCATAAATCCTCTAACACAAAATCTTCAAATGGGCCAGTGTGGGTTGGCTGGTTCAGTGTCATCCCATACACTGAGAAGTTTTTTGGGTTGATTCTCAGTCAGGGTTGTGGGCTTGAGTCCTAGTAGAGGTGTGCAGGAGGCACCAGATGGATATTTCTCTCTCCCTCCATCTCCCTCCTCTTTCTCTAAATTCAATAAAAGATATATTTTGAAAAAAGACCTTCAAATGCTAAGCTACTCTACTACAGATTCTATGAATTGTCCAGTTACATTTATAAAATAAGCACAATTAATTAAATAATGACAAACAGCAAAGCTTATTGGCTCTATCTTTAGAACATACCCAGAATTCAACTCCTTATGTCCACTGCCACGGGCCTCCTCTAAAGCACCATGCTATCTGCCCTAACAAATGTAATAGCCTGTAAACTGGATTTCTTGCTGCCATTATGCTCTCCTCTCAGATTTTGCAAGACAGCAGCCTTGCTTCTCAAAGGTCAAGGACAGAACCTGTTGCTCCTTTGTTCAAAACCCTCCAATGGTCCCTGCCTACCTTGTTCACTTCTAAGTCGCTGCCACCTAGTACAGTCCCTCCCCAGGGACTGTAAAATTGCTGGCTACTTGCAGAATGATTAAATGAACACTTGATCTCTAGCTGGTTTTGGCTCAGTGGATTGTCTGCGGACTGAAGGGTCCCAAGTTCAATTCCGGTCAAGGATACATGCCTGGGTTGCAGGCTCCATCCCCAGTATGGGGCATGCAGGAGGCAGCCAATCATTCTCTCATCATTGATGTTTCTATCGCTCCCTCTTCCTTTCTCTCTAAATTCAATAAAAATAAATTTTAAAAAATAAATTAACATTTGAATAGTATAATTTTTAATTATATGCAAGAGTCAAATATTTACCAAGGCCCAAACATGAATTTCACACAAAAGGATGCCACCAGAAGATGACAGGTAAACAAACACTGTACCTCTAAAACAGAAATGACGCAAATTGCAGTCCATGTACCATATGTGGTAATGTGAACCAAGTATTTGCAATATTTTGTTGAAATATTTATGTATATTTTCCAATGTATATAAAAGAGAGGTAACATTTAAAATGTCAAAGATAGTTTCACTTTGGAAGATGCAAAATTAATTTTTTAAATGAATCTATTTAAAATCAATTGACAGAAAAAACTTTAAGTAATGGACAGGGTAAGGTTCACAGCAGAGCGAACATGTGAATGACTCAGACTTGGGAAACAATGCCCTAAGAGAGCTGCGTGATTCGGAAACCTCCTTTAAAGCAAAAGACTTCCCATTACTAGCTTGCCCATGATAGCTAGACCTCAGACAAGTGTGAGGTAAGGTTTTCTCTGCATGCATCAAAGATTTGACAGCAACTTGAATTTACCCTCAGATTTAGTCATGATGTTTGTGAAATTAAGGCTTGCACAGTGGTATTATTCCAAGGG